TGCAGAACGGCAAGCAAGAAAAGAACATATATGGATCAGTGGGGGGTGACCATACAGACATAAATATATAAACATACATACATTAATAAGCGTAAATGAATAAATAAAAAAATATACATGTAAACATAAATAAAAAATATAGACATACAGTGCAAACACACGCTCGAGCTCCCTGAGCAGACATCTACAGCTGCTGTTGTCCCTTCGCAGCCGCTACAGCCGTTGCCCGCCATGGCCCACCACGCACGATTGCATTTGCGCCATCCTTTCCATCCCCATGTGTGCAGACAAGAAAAGAGTAGACATGTGGGGTTATGCGGCCCTATAATTGTCAAATGTACCCTGGGTAGGAATAGGCTTATGAAAGTTCAGAGTGCGATTGCTGAACCCTGAACCCTAAAACCCTAAGCTCTAAGCGCCAAGGTGGCCCAGTGACCAGGTTTGGGGTTCAGGGATCGTCATTTCACTTATACGCCCAACCCAAATGATGCGCTTGATGTTTGTTGCTGTCCCACTGAATGTGTGAGCCGACGGAAAGCAGTCAGTTTTGAGTCTGTGAAGGCGTTCAATTTTGAGTGCTCGCAAAATTGAGGGTCACTCAACAATTCGAATTCGCAGTTTGAAGTGCAAGTTTGCTGACGATTCTTTTTTTATCTCTCTCTCTCTCTCTCTCGCCAGTTAGCTTGCATTTTCCTGCTGTGAAAAACAGAATTTTCAATTGTTATGTACAGCAAATAGGTAGGTGTGAATTCCGTGTTGGCCTGACAGTTGTGGAAGTGTTGCTTCAACGCGCTTGTGCTGAAATCTGTTGTTTGTGTATTTTGTGTTTCATGGAATCATGTTTTCCGTGTGCTGCAACAGTGTTTGTTGTTGGTCTGGAAATCAGGTTGTCCGTCTTACCTCCGACCTCTCCGGCGATTCGTTGCTTAGCGTCTCTGTCTGATCTCCAGGCGAGAGTTTTCTTGGGTGCAGCCAGCTCATCGGTTTGTGTGCACTGCAGTACAATACATTCCATATTTTTTGGCCGCCGCTTTTTTTGCATGTTGCATGCGACGCAACCACAGCGCCGCAACAATAGCCTGCGTCTCCTTGGCCTGCTTGGCAGGGCAGCATTCCCGCACAGCCGCGCGCATGAGCTTCCCCGGCCTGCTTGTCCAGGCAACATTCGGGTACAATTGCTCGCCTGCGGGCGGCTGCCTGGCCTGCTTGTGAGGCAACTTGTACACGTGGTAAAGTTGCTTGCATGAGCCTCTTCGCCATGTTTAGTCGGCAACATTGCGGTGCAGCATCCCTGGCTTGTTTATTGACGCAACACGTGCTGTTGAGCTTCCCTTGGCTTGCTTGTTCGCGCAAGGTTCCGGTACAGTTACCCGCCTGAGCCTCCCTGCTTTTTTTGTTATCACACCAGTGTTGCCGATGCGAAAAAACGTTGACAACCAACCGTGTACTCATATTCAAAAGACACGGCAAATATTGCAGAGATTTGTTAGCAAAATTGCCATCACGTGCAAGGGACGCGAGGGGGATTTGCCACTGGGAGGCCTTGGCTAAAGGGGGATGGGCGGATGCAGACGAACATCCCGCAATGAACACATCTTGCACGATGTCAGTGAATGTTACGGGGATTCATTGTTTCCTTTGTGGCCAGTCCGTCAGCCAGAATATTGAACCGTTTTGATGCCGTGAAGCAGTCCGACAAATCAACGTAAAAAATTGGAGGGGAAAAGTATCACGCAATGCTAAGATGCATGTCAATCGCAGTGATTGTCAGCAGTATCCGAAAGAACTGGTGATTGGCGGTCCTGCAGCACGGCTCAAACTGTCAGAGGGTGCTGCAGTTTGGTGCAATTTTGGCAGTGGACAGCCGCCCATTGCAGCACCCAAGGTCGTCGCGACAACAGTTTGCTCATCAAGTGCATGCAATTCAGTCGAAGAGTTTGCAGGTCATGGCAGGCGATTTGTCCAGGTTTGTTGAACTGCTGAAGGCGTGGTCAAGACAGTGCGTTGTGCAGTTTCGCAATTTGAGACGTGATTGTATTGCTGTGGTTTTCAGCTGCTGTTCGGGCGTTGGTGCTGCGGTGTTTGCGACAATGTCAGGGGCTGCAAACCCCTGAGAATGCCGTGAGACAACAAGCAGAAACTATGTGCCCTCTGAAAACAGAAGGAGAAGAAACGGAAACACTTGACGTGTGCATGTGTGAAACTGCAGGTACCAGACCGCAAAACAATCTGAGCCGGACACCCTCATCATAGGGATGATGTGCGCTCCACAACAGTGCATCGTTTGGTTTCAATGCTCCGTGGACAAATTGTGGGTCTAAGAGGGATGCGCAACCGAGGGCCGTATTGGGAAGCGCTGACGTGCCCGAGAGCGTTCGGAGGTCGCAATGCAGCATGTTGCTATCGTTGAATGTTTTTGGAATACATCCGATCCATGGCTGAGGCACGATTGCGTCCTCTTGCGCCAGCTGGTAACAAGAGGGGCCGAGAAAGATTTTGTGTATGCAAGGACTTCTTCCAACTATCTTGACATGTGCGTTGGCTAGATTCGCGGCTAGATTATGAAACAAACTCAGAACAATGTGCTCATTGTTCTTCGTTTGTTGAGTTGAGGATCTCTGATTCACATAAGCAGCAGGCGCGTGGGCGTTGCCTTTTGTTTCGACTGCTCATAGCGTTGGTTTTTACTGGGTAGTTGTAAGCAGAGCTGCCTAAGAGTAACAGACATGTTCAGGTGGCAGCCGAGCTATTGCGGCAGTACGAACAGGAGGTGGTCCCCTTTGTTTCACACGGTCTCACGTTGTGAGTGTCTACTGAAGCAACATCCTTCATCCAGAATGTTCTTGAGAGTGCCACATGAGTCGGATCAAATGCTGCATGCGGTTGCTGATTCCACTTTCATAGCCTCCGTGGTGAGCATGTCGTACTAATTTGTGCCAGAAAACTCCGGCGATACAGAAGAAGATCGGCGAGGTCAGCTTGCACCGGAGTTTGTGCATCATCGATGCTTGGAGTGCGGGCTGGATTTCATCTGCTCGTGCAGGTCGTCTCCAAGCTGGCCGACTACGTGTGCGACACGGACCATGCAGCTGAACGGGGCTGAAAGCACTGGGCAAGTGCTGGCAAGCATGTTCCACCAAGAAGAGACAGTGCAGGACGACCCCAGAGCAAGCCTCGGCGCTCCGTCCGGTTGGCTTGGGCCCTGAACAAAGCAGTTTTGTGAAACGGTTGCCTTCGATTCAGGGTTCTTTCCAGTAAGATGGTGCAAGTTTAGCAGCTTGCTTTTCTTCGCATCCACCTTTTTTTGTGAAAGACCAGGCCTGCCTTGTTGCCCTTGGTCTTCCGCATGGCCTGGAGCAGAGAAGCGAGATCTTGCGTTGGGGGGCTTTCTTGCAGAGTTGGAGACAAAGGCAAGGAACAAAAGGCAAAAAACCAGCCTTCCGAGGCTGACACGAGCACGGCCATTTCAGGCGAAAGCTGCGAGTCAGCTCTTCGGCTCCTCAAGGTGCCAGCTTCATGAAACTGCCCGGAGAATCTTGGCGCGACATACCTGAAGTCTGAAGGACTGCGTTCCGACATTGAAAGACCAGATCGTTGCGGCAAAGCAGCAGCCCGGATCTTTGTCAGGGTCAGCTTGAGAAGTGCTCATGACAAGTGTGCGTATCTTGCCGGAGAAAGTCGATTCTCGATGTTTTGTGGTAGTTTGGCTTGGCTGGCTACCTTCTCTCTGCGTATTCTACATGTGCTTCTTGATTTGTCATCGTTTTCAGGAGGGTAGATCGCACATTTTTTCCATGGCGCCGTCATTCACCAAAAGAACCATTGGTGCCAGCTCGCTCAGGTTGGGCCAAATTATACAGAATGGCTTGGCATCGCCGCAGGCTGGCATGCGGTTCTTGTGCCTCAGCCAGAAACATTTGTTTGCTTCACGAGGTAAAGCACAAAGTAGCAACTTTCCTCCTCGTCTGCGAGATCGTCACTGAAACAGAGAAGAAAGGCGGCTTATTGAGTCCACACTGGCGTAAGGCTGAACGTTTTCCAGTGTGTCACCGCTTGCCAGCTTGGGCACCTCTTCTTTCCACTGTCAGCGTCCTCGTACAGGCAAACCCGTAGATCGCTTTCTGTCCATATCTTTGCAGGGTCCATGGAGCAACTGCGCACCCGCACACGTCGTTGCTTGCTCTGGCTCAGAAATTGGCGCTTTTAATAATCGTTCCTCCTCGTCTCCCTCATGTCCGCTCGGGCTGTGGGCCGGGGTGCCCGTGCCTTATGGCTCAGGCATGAACCTAAGTGCTGCGAGCAAGGGCTGGCAGCTGGCAGTGTCTGTGGAGCACACAAATTAGGCCTTCATCAGTGTCAAGAGATTGGAGTTTGCAGGAATGACCTCCGGCTTGACGACAACCTGGCCCTGAAGGCCCTCACAGCTCACCCATTGAATCTATTGCTCACCTATTTCCACAACACCTGGATTCGGGTTGGTGGTGCCAGGCAGCAGCGGAGGGTGCAGAGACTCTGCTGCCCATCTTTGTTTTCGACCCCTCTCGCTTCAACGTGCCCACGCTGGCAGGCATCCAACGGGTCTGAGTGTGTTGTTTCTACAGCTGCTTAGCGGTGCGCTCGGCACAGCTGGTCTCGAGGTGCGCGAAAGTGCAATGCCCGGCGAGCTCGGTTCTTGCTCGAAAGCGTGGATTGCCTTCGCCGACGGTTGGAGGGCATCGGCTCCGGTCTGGCGGTTGCAGTTGGGCCCCCGCAGGAGGCGAGATGTTGCAGAAGTATGCAGGTGTTATGCAGTTATACAGGATGGTGGTGCGAGTGGACTGCTCCAAGTCATTTCTGTTGTCAGGTGATTCCGAAGCTCTGTGAAGGCTGCAGCGCTGTGGCCGTCACACAGGCCGCGGGTGCAAGACCATGTGCTGAATTTGATTGCTTGTGCCTCAGCCCAGGGCTACTGCAGCGAAGAGCAACGAGAAGAAGCCCTGGTTTCCCAGCGGCTCCGCTCGATGGACACAGACCTGACAGCAGTTTGGTCCGGAACGCTTTACATGCCTGAGGAGCTGTTTGCTGAAGCCACAACTGAGAATGCAGAAGGCCCTGTGACATCAGGGTCTTGACGCGCTTTTGATAGAGGAGTGCGGGCAGAACCCGCGCAACACCCCGCTGCTGTTCACATCTTTCAAGAACAAGGTGGGGGGATTCTTTGCTCGAAACCTTGGCCTTGTTGTAATGAAATCTCTCGGGGATTCTTTTCTCAGAAGTCCGAGTTGTTCCCAGGCGGAGGGCCGCGGCCAGATCCGCAGACCAGTTCCGGCACCGAAGCGGCTGCCCCCTCTCCCGAAGCAGAGCGAGCTGGAGACAGCCTTAGGCCCCTTTGGCAAAAACAGAGCATAGAAGAGCCACTCAGAAGGGTTGGGCGAGAATGGGCCTCTCAGGCTTCTTGCCGACCTTGCAGCAGCTCGGGTACCAGGATGACGAGGTCGCAGAAGCAATGCAAGACGATCCTCGAGGCTTGTGGTACTTTAGATCTCCCCAGTCAGCACAGGCATTCCGACACCTTGCACGCAGGTGTTTTGCCGTTTCGAGGCGGCGAGGACGCAGCAGCTCGCCTTCAAAGCCACCATTCCCAAAAAAAATCTTTGCCAGTCTCAAAACATGTAGACAGAATCAAGTTCCGCTTGCCAGGCTTTGGCAAGACTTCAGAAGTGGATGTTTGATGACGACCACCTGAAAGACTACTTCGACATTCGGAGACTCCTCTTATCCTCCAACCCCCGTTGGATGTAGTCTGAATTCTGAATGATGCCAGTACCAGATTTCGAATCTGCGGGGTAGCAGTCTTGTATTTGCGGTCTTCTGCAGTGGAGGTGTTTGCAGGTTGGTCTTTGAGAATCGTGGAAAGGGTGAAATCTGATCGAGCTGACATGTGTGGAGCTGCAGGAACGGGATGCTGGGTGAGGGATTCTCCTCCAAGCTCAGTCCATGGTTGGCCACTGGCTGCATCTCCCCTCGGCGGATATGGTCTGAGGCGCCTTAGAGCCGAAGAACCGCAGAAGTCGCAGAAGTGTCTTTTAGGCCTCCAAAAGTTCCGCTTCCATGGAGGCTCAGCGGTACGAGACCGAGAGAGGCATCACGAACAAGTCCACATACTGGCAGCTCGGCAGGATGCTCATGGATGCTCCAATGCAGTTGCGGCTCTGACATGGCGAAGACCCCACCTGACTGCCTTTGTCAGACTAGGCTTGTTTTCGAGCTGACTTGGCGAGATTTCTTCATCTACATGGCATTGAGTCAAGGACGGTACCGGGCCACCACCTCCTCTCATGAACTCTAGCATCCATTCCTCTTCACTACTGTTCAGAATTGAGAGACCACGTACAGAGTGCTAGGCACTTCAGCTCTTGCTCTTGACCCGCACGGATTTGCAGGAGACAAAATTTTTGTCCCTGGTGGCATTACCGGCGACAGGACCGATGCTAAACAGAAAGGGGCATGTGCAGCATGCACGTCGGCGTTCGCTGTAGTATTGGGATCTTTCAGGACTCCTTGGAGGGGCTCATCAGACAAACTCGCGAGGCGCGACGATGTGCAAAGCCTTATGTAGCCATACCTGGCCATGTCATTTGAAGTGGCGTGGTGCGCCATGCAGGTGGAAAGAGGGCAAGACTGGAGATCCTCTGGTCGACGCAAACATGCGTGAGCTGAGCGCCACTGGCTTCATGAGCAATCGAGGACGGCAGAATGTTGCAGCCAGACTCAGATTTAATCAAGGTGGCCGCTTTAGACTGAGTCCGACGCAGTGGTAGCACTTGGTACTGAGACGCTAAGTTTCTGAGTAGCAGTTCTTGCTTGCGAGGCCAGCTTCCTGATCTTTGACTTGGGTGTGGACTGGCGCTATGGTGCTGCACATTTCGAAGAGTACCTACTGGATTACGATCCCTGCTCTAACTGGGGAAACTGGGTTGCTCGGCAAGATGTCAGAGCTGTTGCGCAGCCTTGGAATCAGAGAGTAGCTGGAGATGGGAGTGATGCACACGAGGTGGCGGCAGCCGGCCTTACGGGGCAGCGTGTCAACAAGTTCAACACCAAGAAGCAGCTTTCAGACTATGACTCTCGGGGCTGATCTCGGCTGATCTTGGCCCAGGCGACTAGGTGACTAGGGAACCTTGCGTGTGACGAAGCCCAGGATCCCCAGCGTGAATACGTCAACCACTGGCTGCGTGGCGAGCGTGGTGAACGCAAGGCTGTCTTGCGGCCCAACTCCGAGGACCGCCCCTGGGAGGGGCGGCGCGGGTTAGTAGGTGGATGAGTGCTGGATGCAGAGCTTGGCTAGCACAGGCTGACAAAGGCCGTGGCAAGGGTAAAGATCACAGAGATTCCGCTGCCGAAGGTGGTGGAAAGCGAGGCGACTGCAAGTTGCCATGACTTTTTTCTCTCTGCCATTTCCATCTTTTCAGTGAGTTGTGGCCGTTTGTGGGAATGTTCTCAGTTGTCTTTCCCAAGTCTCCCAGTGGCAACACCAACGAGCCCAAAGCTGATGTCCAACACTTGCAGCTAGGGGCAGCTAGGTGTCGTGCACGGGGATGCTGGCAGAACGACTCATGTATGTCGAGCAGTTCCAGTGTAGTTGCAAATTGTAGACTCCTCTGTATGTTGCAAGGCAGATGGGCGCGAAGCGACAAAGGAAAAGGAAAAGGCAATGGTTACGGGCAGAAGAGGTGGGCGATGCACACGTGTGTTCTCCCATTGGGGGTGCGCTGAGAATCACTGAACATCAGGTCTTTCTACAGCCAGGACGACGATCCGATGGGGGACATGGTTCGCGGAGCTTGATTTTCTGCAGTTTGTTGGTGCTGTGAAACTCGCAGCAGATAATGCAACTATAGAACAGCTGTCAAGCGTATGGTCCCTTGGATCATTGGCTTTGAGCCAAGCTTGCGCCACGGCCGTGCTTTATCGAGCAGGCTTTAAATGAGGTTGGTGGTAGTCTAAGCTTGGGATTGGATGGGGCGATAAACATCGGCAAGTGGCCAACCTTTTCAAGTGCTCTTCACTTCCAAGATTTTCACTTCCAGTTTTCTTTATGATCCGTTCTGAAGAGATCAGATAATTCATTGCGCGGCATTGGCCTCTTGCAAAATTGCAAGGACAGAGCTCAAGAAGGGCACATGATAGCACATGTGACGCGGTCCCGCGTGCAAAAGCCCATGGCTCATCATGGCCGAACATGGCGCATCACGACTCTTCATGAGTCCGAAGCCAGGGGTGGGGGGGGGGAACGATTCACACCTGAAGCATGTTGCTGTTCGACCAGGTTCTTACTGCCTTGGCGCAAGCGAAAGAGGAGGACCTTCTGCAGGAGTGCATCCAGGACCGATGCAGAAGGGACAGGTTCTGGCCCTCCATGGAGAAGTGTTCGGAATGTTTGCTTCCTATGTCAGGCGTTTACAGACGTAGCAACAGTGGAGCCCGACTTCTTCAAGGCTGGTGCATTCGAGGCATCTTTGTGGAGCGGAGGAGCATTTGCGGCACTAGGCGCAGCTACAGCAGACGATGGAGCCTGCCAAGTTCATGGCAACCGTAGCGCGAACCCGTGAGGCAGTGTTATCTCATGTTATCTCGGTCTCGAGTTCGTTGGGTGTCCTGCATCACCGTCTGAGAGTGTCCAGCTGCCGGCACATATCTGCAAGATGTGATTCTCCAAAGACCAGCTTCAATGAGCACTTCTAAGAACCGGCCACGCATGTCTCTAGTTACCTTAAAAGAGGTATAGCATTCAGTCTTTTGTCGCTTAATTCTACTTCTTTCATATTGCTTCATGGTGGAGATCTCTTTGTCTTTCATATGCTTGCTTCTGAATTTAAAAGAATAATCTGCTCAAAGACTCATATGGGTAGATTATACATTAAAGTCCTTGGAGGTATAAGATTCATACTCTTTAATCTTAGATTATGTGGAATCATCTTTGCTTACAGTCATTTGCTTGCTTATTGCTTATTGTGTGGTGATATGTCAGTGAATCCTCTGCTGCTCATGACACATTGTCAAGATGAATGTAGTTGTATTGGAATTAGCTTTTGGAATGAATATTCATGAAGATCAATGGTTGGTGGTGTATGTTGTTAAAGATTCAAGGCCTTCTGCTCTTGGATTTGAAAAGGAAAGGCTTGCCTTTTCCTTTTCTTTTCAAATCCAAGTGCACACTTGGCTTATACTTTTGATGATGTTGTGTTGTTGAAGTATTATTGTTGATGATGTTGGTTTGTTGTTGTGAGCTTAATGTTGGCAGCTTGATGTTCTGAGCTTGATGTTGTGAGCTTGATGTTGTTGAATTTAAAATTTGAATGGGTGGATGTAGTTTAGTTGGATTGGAATAGGAATGGAAATTCATTTCCATTTCTATTCCTATTCCAATCCAACTAAAGGCTACCCACCTTGATATTTCTAATGTACCATTCAGGTCTACTGGTGGTCTATTTTCAAGTACAAAAGGTGTTAGGAGCTCTATTTCCAAGTCAACTAGTCTTGAAATATGGCCATACTACACCTGCATCCAATGCTGAAGGTCGTGCTACATCCCATCCACTTATTTCTGATGAACTCCCAAGTCCTAAATTCTGTTGTAGAATAGTTGTTCGCAACACCATTCAAGTGTTTAATGTTGTGTTATGAGGTAGGACGGTTGTTGATTTTATAAGGGTAGCTGTTGTTTTTATAAGGGTAACTGTTGTCTTCTGTTGTATTTTGTTGAATGGGTGTTGCATTTTGTTGGATTATTGTGTTCAGGCCACTAAATTGTGAAGCAGTTCTGTTGTGGAATTGGAAAATGAAGCTGTATTTTCTGCTTCATTTTCCAATAGCAACCTCTCATCCACATTAGGACAGAATGTTTGTACCACTAAATCGTGTTGCTGCACAAGGATAGTTGTTTATTTGATAGTTCACGTGCAGATCGACTCGGGCCTGCGTGGCCTCGCGATTGAGTGGCTCGTGAGCTTCGTGGAGAAGAGGCTGGGTTGCTTGATGGTTCCTGCGGGCTCCAGGCGTTGGATGATGTTGGTGCGACGTTTGTGCCCTGTTGAGGTCGAAGTTTCTCAGCAAGTCTGCCCCGGAGTTCATCAACCTCACACTTGAGTGCTGTTGCAACCTTGGTCGACTGCGTCTCTGCGGCCCACTGCAGCTGAGCTATTGCGCGTTGTACGCCTAGGCATGAGCCTCATGCTCGAGGTCGATGAGTCCGAAGACAAACTGAAGGTCCTGAAGCGTCTTTATGGATGCGCTGCCGCTGCTCTTGTATTGTTGTTGTGGAAAGCTGTTGGGATCTGCCGTCATGCTTTTCTGCCGGACACCGGCTCCCCCAGACTCCTCTCCCGTTTACTTCTGGCATGACTGCCGAAACATGACATCGAGAAACGCTTTAGGCCCGTAGGCACAATAAACAACACATGCCGCAGCCACATAGCAGCCACAGAGTCAGGCAGCGCAACCCTCCGAAAGAGCGTAGAGCTCGCCATTGAGACGGCTTTTGCGACTCTTCGCCCCTTTTGAGCAACACATCCTCTTGCCTTGAGCTTTTGCAGCTGCCAATAGCTGCCATGCTCGAGCCCGGCCCTGAGAGACGTCGTGGTGGTACGGGCTCGCGGAGCCCACGGCATGCGAGGCCTTTGGGGGCCGCGGTGAAGCAGCCCGAGGAGGCATGGATCATCATGGAGTTGAGGTCAGCATGGCCAAATATGGCCAAGCTGTTGTTGGCCGTGTAGGTGGAGGAGGTCCCTTTAGATGACGACAGTGACATCGAAGGCGAACGCCGCGCTTGCACAGATGCCATTCGCAAGCTTCTGCAGATTGCTTCTTTCTTGCATTTCCTTACTGTAAGGTGTGTTCTTGGTAAGAGGCTGCAAGGAACAAGGTTCTTGCTAGCAGATCTGCGGGTTCGTTTCGGATTCCGGTCAGTTCTTCGCAAGGGTTTTTGACGACCTCAATATTTGCCGTTTTTTGTTTCCAGACGGTTTTCGAGTAGAACTTGGCTCGCCACGCTGGACTAATCAAACTCTTGGTTTTGAGACTTTCTTGAAGGACCCGAGAGGGTGCCTGGCATGTACACCCTGCATGCTGACAACTCGGCAGTAGGGAGTAGGTTGTGTTGCTGAGATGTGCTGTGCTTTGGACTTTGGCAGGCTCCGGTTACCACAGTTGCGAAAGCCCGGTCCAGCCGCAAGCAAGATATGAAGATCCAGGCTTGCGACCCTCCCTGCGTTGATTGTACGCATGCAGCAGCTTCGAGAATTGGCGCCACTATCAGCAGCCTGACATAGCCTGACTGTCGAAAGCACCGGTTCAAACTCTCATAGAAAGCTTAAGCTTGCTTCAGCCAGATGCGCCGAAGTTGGTCATGGCCTCTCGGGGTCTGAGTGGCCTGCTGGAAAGTGTAGGCCGGCGTCTGCACATGTGGTTTCCGGTTGTACAGGATTTCGCGACCGCTGTGCCACGAAAGTCCACTTCTCTCAAGAAGCTTGCTTGCCATCTCAATCAGCCCAGCAGGCGGAACCCAAGCCGAGGAAGAGATTCTAGAAAACACGGTTCTTCTGAACGTGTGCGCACTTGCCATGCATGGATTGGAGGTTCTCGTGCCTGCATAGTCTTTTGTGGTGGAGTTGCGGGTGCCATTTCATGTCACTTAGTCTCCACTTCTGGGTATTCTTCAGATGAATTCCTCAGACAGGTACGACGTAAGCGATAGCGGGGCGCCCAGTCACCACCTGCAGAGTCAGCGAGCAAACTGCTTCTGAAAGAGTTGAGGGCCATTCAGCAAGCGGCAACACTTTGAGTTGAATTAGGCGATGTGATCCAGAGGGTGAATCGCATCCTGACAGTGGATGACAACGTCCTCGCCGGAGGAGCTTTGACGTCCCAGTGTCAGTGTCTTTGACACAGGAAAGCACGTTAGCCTCAACACATGGTCAAGCAGACAGAGAAGTAAAAACAATGAGGAACGACAGGTAGAAGCAAGGGCAGAACAAACACAAGGAAAGCGACACAGCTGCATAGGAAAAGCGGAGAACGAGCACCGAAGCAAAGACAGAACCATCGAAACAGAAAAGTGGAGACGCCGTGTGGATGATTCTTCTTCTCAGGCGTCTAAACTTCTGAGACGGGAGGCAATACTTCGCCTAAACTGCAAGGACTGTTGCTGCTACATGGTCGTTACGGTACGATTGTTGCGTGTATGATGCTTGGTCATGGAATGCTCATCACAAAGCACGTCGTCCAGCAGCATCAGTCAGGCATCAATGGGAAACCAGCCAGGATTAAAAGCACGTCGAAATGCAACATGGAGACAACGTGAAAGGAACATCAGTACCAAACCATATCGTGCGAGGAAGGCAGGAAAGAACATAGCATTGTAAGCAGAACGCTTCTTTGTGCATCGAGGGCCCCGTTGGAACCGTGTAAGCCAATTTCCGAAAAAAATCACGTTTGACTATCCTTCATAGGAACATATAGGAACCAATGGGTTAGGGCCGGGCCGCACAAGGATCTTCAGTAGGAATCATTATCGTTTCTTCCTGTTGCAACTCTACGATGTATGAGAAGCTAGAGGGAGTCTGCTCCCCCAAACAATGTGCAAGAGGCAGTCTGTTTTCTATTCACGTCCGAGGCTAGGACATAGTACATCATGGACAGGAATAGGGTTTCTTATAAGCATTATCCAGCGACACCCCTTCAGTCTGGGGTGTATGTTTACTACGCTGATGTATGTTGACTGCTGGTTTCGGGTCCCCAGACTATGCGGGCACAGAAGCATTGCACGCGAACTTCGTGATCAATCACGTCCCTTTCTGCTCTCTACCCCTACGCCGAAAACCCGAGCTAGCAACAGTCTCCAGGAGGTCGCTTGTGAAAGTCAAGTGGGTGGGGAGAGTTCGAAATAGATTGGCTCTCGATACCCTAACTTTTTGAGGGCAGTCTTTGTGTTTCCTTCGGTTGACATCGGAGGGCCGGTTGAGAACACGTTGTGGGGGGATAGTAGCAACAGCGGCTGTGGGCTGTGGGTGGCAGCGAGAGCAGTTGACGGTCCACCTTTCCCGCAGCTGTGGAATTCTGACGAGGAGTGTTCCATGCAGGCGTGGAGGCATCCCGAAGAAAGCCTCAGGGTGCAGGGTGCACAACTGCCTAGCTGATCCATCTGATCCCCAACACTTGCTCTCCTGGAGGTCTACGGAAAAGAATGGTGCTATGGCGCCACCGTGCCTGCGCCTCAAGCTCCATTGGTGTCAGGGTCGATCCGCTACGGTGAAAATCCGAAGCTGAGGCCTGGGCGGACTGGTGTTGGGGCAGTGGGGAGCTCATGAGTAGTAAGCAGAGTTGTCGCAAGACCTTAGACTTGTGCCAATGCTGTAGAAGCACGCAAAGGTCAAACCACGCCTGCACCCCCAGCACAGGTGCCCATGAATCCAGCGTGAGGGTGAAAACGTGATTTGCAAGCCTAGCTCAGCAGGACCCAGCAGGATTCCGAAAGCTTCTACACAGTATGCCTTTCTGACCTTCCTCTACTTGCCTCTCTAGGATTCTTGAAGATTTCTTGCGCTGGTGCTGGCTGTGGTCCTGAAACCAGGTACCGGGCCACCGTGCACATGGGTGTTGCCAGCATGTTGCCGTTGCACCAGATGACTGGCGGGAGATGTTTGATGGTAGTGTCAGCGTTGTCAGCGTTGTCAGCGTTGAGTCGTTGAGCAAGCCGTCGGCGGCGTTTCCCTCTCCATCCCTTCGGATTCGTTGCGAAACCAGTTGCCCTGATGCTGTGCTTAATTCGTTGCATTGAGCCAATGCTCGCCGGAGTGGGTCAAATCGTAGGTTTGTGCCGTTCATGCGCTTCGACCTCTCCTCAGAAGGCGTATGTAAGTGCTGTACAGATGGACTGCTATTGCTTTACCTGAAGCTTGAATGAGAAAGAAGTATAGCAGAAGCAAGCTCTTCAGGCAACGAGAGGGCGAATGGGACAAGTCAGCGTGTGTGTCTCTGTGTGTGTCTCTGTGTGTGTCTCTGTGTCTCTGTGTCTCTGTGTCTCTGTGTGTGTGTGTGTGTGTCTGTGTGTGTGGAAACAGGTATTTGCATCCTGGAAAGGCTTCACCGCCAAATCTACATGTCGAGCAGGGGGCGGATGGACTCATTGCTTGGCATCCGCCAACGAAGACCCAAGCAGTGCAGTCGTGATTCGTACCTGCCATGGAGTGCCTGGACATCTGAGGATGTAGCTGGCATGCATCATGTGCATCCGTCATGAATGCATTTGCAACTTTCGAGGGCATTCTTGCATCAGTGTGTTTCGGTTGGGCTTTCCCTCCTGAGCGCCCGCCAACGGCAGGTAGCCGAGCCTCCAGTTGGAGGTAAGATCGCCCGGAGCGTTTAGGATGTGACGGTCCGTGCGAGCCAAGGGGTTTCCTCCCGATTCATCTCTTTTGGTTTTGAAGACGGGTGTCGAGCTGATGTATGTTCCCGCTTGAGGTCGTGTTTTGTCAGGTTGTCGGGGGCGTGGGCAGGCGCACATCCCCTCCCCCCTCTCGCCTCAAACTACCTGCCACATTTTTGGTTTTTCAGAAAGGTGGACTGGACCCTCATCCACCACTTTGTGGACAGGACCCGTATCCACTCAACTTCAAGTGGTGGCTCACTTGAAACCTTTCTCGTTTTCCATGGGGGTTGTCAAACAGGTTTTAGGCAGTGCGAGCGCCAGGGTATGTGCATTGTTTGCGAGCTAGCCCTTTCGAGGGCAGTGTGTGTGTGTGTGGAAGCAGGTATTTGCATCCTGGAAAGGCTTCACCGCCAAATCTACATGTCGAGCAGGGGGCGGATGGACTCATTGCTTGGCATCCGCCAGCGAAAACCCAAGCAATGCAGTCGTGAAACGTACCTGCCATGGCAGTGCCTGGACATTTGAGGATGTAGCTGGCATGCATCATGTGCGTCCGTCATGAACGCATTTGCAACTTTCGAGTGCATTCTTGCATCAGTGTGTCTGTCTCTGTCTGTCTGTCTGTGTGTGTGTGTGTGTCACGGAGTGAGCCGCCTCGTCAGAGCGAAGCTCCGCCAGGCCAAACCCGGAAGACAGCCTCGGAGGTGAACCACCTCCTCGCAGGCAGCGGCTCCGTGAATGATTCGTGCCCGGAAGGATCAAGCTCTGCCTTGTCACCATGCGATGTTGTTGCAGACACAATTACAGTGCTCACTCTTGTGCCAATGGCAGCTCGTTGATTTAATTCTATGGCGAGGCATGGCGGCCCAATGGACCGCAGCTTAGCGGTGCAGGGGGGGCCACCTTCAAGAGCTTGAGCCGTGGGTGCTATCACATCATCTATCCACCGTGAGGCCGTAAGGTTCAGGCTTGAAAGACTTGTAAAGCCTACAAGTTGATGAATGCTTGTGAATGCCTTCGAGGGATGTGAAGTTCATGATTCGCCGTTGCCTCTAAGGCCAGGAAGCGATTACGACCTGATCCATCACAACTGCCTCAGCTTTTGCAATGCTCCTTGAATCATTTTGAACCTGGGCCTGTGTTCCATTAGTGTTCGATTGTCTGTTTTTGCTCGTAACTTCAAGAACGGATCTTTTGAAGTTGAGGGCGTTCCTGGCGGGGGATGATTCGGCTCACTTTCTGAGCATTGTTTGGATTGGTTCGAGGTACTTCCCACGTCCTCGAGAGAACGTCCAATGTTGACGTTGCCTTGTATTGCCAGATATTCAGCAAGTGTTCTTCTTGAGGTCCTGCTTGGTGAACTCGGTTTGAGGCGAATCCCTGGTTGGGCTCCGATCCTTACTCCAAGTGTGTGAGGTGTTGCGAAGCCTGCGAAGCACAATGTGCCCGCTGCGCATAGCTGCGCAATATGTCTCGTCGACAAGGTGGATCGAGCAGCTCGGGCTGCCAGCCAGGTGGACAACGTTGTGAAAGCGGTTAGGAGAGACCTGGGTGGGGTGTTTTCAGATCAGCTTCAGCACACACATGTCGCATTGTCCACAGCGGCTGTTCAGGAGCATCAGCACTGATGAGGCCCGATGGGCGGGCAGAGGTGTTCTAGCAATAGAAGATGCTCCCCAGAGCAGCAGGTCACTGTGCAAGCGGAAGAGACGCTGCAGAACCTCAGGCCTGACGTGCTTAAAGAGACAAGCAGTGAAGCCAGGCTGTGCCCTAGTAAGCTCAGTAAACTGTGCATCAGTTGTCTTTCAATAAACATCCGCGGACACTAGAGTGCCCTGATGCTGCCTGCGTCTTTCCATGTCTTTCCATCCTGCCTTCTTTCAGGCGAGAGTCCTTTGCCGCCCTCGAGGCAGCCAAAGACGGGACACAGAAGCTCTTCGAGCGGGCCCAGGATGCGTGGCTTCAAAAAACCACATTTGATTTCTTGTAATGTTTCCCTTCCTGTCTTATCTGCAGAGCTTGCCAATCAGCGCGTCACCATGAGTGTCTGTCGCAAAGAGGTGCATGTTCTGATGCCACTCCGATGCAATCTTTGCTTTGCAAGCCAGGAGCAAGCACAGCAGCCCTTGTCTGAGGTGGGATTCTTGCGTGCATTTGCCAGCTTTGCTTTGCAACACTTTGCAACCTTGCGCAGATCTTTGCAGATCTTTGGGCACATGGGCCTCCAGGTGCAAGACCTCGGGGTGAAAGCTAGCGAGCTGGCGGGCAAGGCCGCGTCCACTAGCTAGATCTAACGTCACGGACAGAGCTGTGCACAAGCCGCGGCGTGTGCACTCAACAAGCGCGCTTGTAAGCATTGTCTCTTGCAAGGAGATGTTGCAGGAGAGGAAGGAAAGGGTGCTTACTTCCGCTTTAGCTTCTGAGGCGCAGGAGCAGCTGCACTCCGTGGGTGCAAGCCTTTGGCAGTTAGGGGCTCAGAGAGCACCGTCGTTTTAGCTCATGACGCTGGGATAGGTCTCCTAAGCCCTCTGTATGGAAAAGTACTGCAAGGTGGGGCCAGAATCTCCAGGAGTCTGTTGGCATGCAAGAGGCGGGATACGGGGCCAACATAGCATAACCCAAATGCAGCCTCGGACCCAACTCTCACAACCAGTTCACGGCCAGAACCACAAGGAACCAACTTCACCCGTCTCTTCGTGTGTCGGATAGGCGCCCGCCACGCTTTCAGAGCTTGGCAAGAAGGCAGAGGCGTGCCTTTTGGTCGCTTTGTGTTTCGCACTGCGCATTGAGAGGGAGCAGTGCAGATGACATTCTTTCTCAGAGGACAACTGGCAGAGCCTGTCTGACAATATTTGGACGTGGGGCCAGTCTGTCACACAGGCTTGGCACTGACTGCAACAGCTGATTCTTGCGACTTCGACCTCTCCTGTGGTAGGACTTGAAGCAGACGTTGGAGGGGCTGCAGCCTCGGACCCCCGGCAGTCTGCCGAGCGAGTTACTTGCCAGAGCTCATACCTGGCCAAGTCAATGGCCGAAAATGTGCGAAGTATGCGTGCGAAGTATGTGTGCGAAGTGTGTGCAACATGCTGCATTGTGTACAGTCGTGCAAGTGACACTGCGACACGGCTCTTCAGGCCTGGACTTGCCCGCAAGCAGTCGGCAAAAGGGCCAGCAGGGTCCTTGTCGCACGTGCAAAAGCACCTGCCGTGGTTTGAGGCGAGTGCGGTTGACTTCCAAGTTCCAAGGACACATTGTCGAAGGGAGGCGACGACCGCAACACGGCTGGGCTTATCAAGGTGAGGAAGCAGCTGCCAAGCACTGCACTAAGTGCTAGCATGTGTCCAAGCGAGGCCCAGGAGATAAGCCTTTTGAAGCAGGGTTTGCTGGAGGACGAGGCCTGCGAATTTGATTGTCTCAGTCCATCATAGTGTCTCTCGATGCATTACGCGTACAGTGCATGTGAAGTGTGCACACCTTGCGGAGCTTTGTGCAGGATCAGGATGTTGCCGTCTCGCGCCAGGCATGGCACAAGGGACAGAGATGTGACACTGTGACGCTGTGACGCTGCGACATTGTGACACTGCGACATTGTGACACTGTGCCACTGCGACATGTCGCTGAAGGTGCGGCGAGAGAAGGAGGCGTGGCCATCCTTTTATGGGCCAGAAGTTGGAGGCACTTAGTTGCTTGGCTGCTAGGCCCCTTTGGAATGGGCATCCGAAAAGTCAAGCAACGCCACTGTCTTGGCTGTACCAGAAGCGCAGGCCCGTCCGTACTTTTCCGAGCCCTCAGAGTGTTGTGTGGCTAAGGGGCCGGCCTTCAACCCTCCTCCCCGTGGGTCTCTCTTGCACATTTGCTGCTGTCTTCGCTTGCTATGCTCATCATGCCTGGGGGGCCATTGTGGTCGAGCAGCTCTATGGTGACACTTTGTGACTTAGCAGGCACGACCTCCTTGACATGGACGCTCCGAGCTTAAGGCTTTCAGGCTTCCAGGCGAACAGGTCTAAGTCGACGTCCTTAGATTCGTGACGAGACCAGGGCGGCCAGTCTGGACCAGCGAAAGATGGGCCGCAGGCTTCCGTCTTTTGCTCTGCTGTCCAGCTCTGCTGTCCACATGAGATTGCAACCGAATGAGACTCACACCTCAGGTCCAAGTCTACTACGCATCTCTCTCTTTCTTAGTGTGTGTGTGTGTGTGTGTGTGTGTGTGTCTCTCTCTCTCGCCCTCTCGCCCTCTCGCCCTCTCGCCCTCTCGCCCTCTCGCCCTCTCGCTCTCTCGCCCTCGCCCTCTCGCGCTCTCGCCCTCTCGCTCTCTCGCCCTCTCGCGCTCTCGCGCTCCCTCGCTCCCTCGCTCTACGATTTTATGGGTATGTATCAGTGTACGTCATGCCAGGCCGCTGCAGTGAGCTTGCTCGATTGAGTCGCAGAAGGCAGACGGCAGACTTGCGGACATCGCCTGCTAAGGGCTGCGCCCCAGGCATCCAAAGGGTATCCCCAAGTATTGCAAGGTATCCAATGTATCCCGAGGTCCAGGATGTGTTAGGAAGAGGGTGCAACCATGTGCAACCTGTATCTGCCGCCCCCAACAGCAGGGCAGGCAGGGCTCTGTCCAATCTCTGACCAAATGTTTCACCTTGAATTGAATCTAGGAGGCAGCAATCAGTTCAAAGCAACGGCGCCAGCACAGCACGTCAAGACAACGCAGCGAGGCAAAAAAGAAGCTGGAGTTTTAAAGTTTTCAACCGCCCGTAGCCGCACCTTATGCTGAACCGGGCCGTTGTGTTACCGTGCAGGAGTGGATCGAGCGCATGGACGATGAAGAGGGTGAGGAAGATGAGGAGTGCTGCAGAATCTCGCCTCTGGCGCTTGTGTGCCATGCATGGCTGCAAGCTACATGAAATGATGCAAATCGGATGATTGAGAACTGAAAATTGACTGTGGGACGAAGCATCGGGCAGCGGCCGAAGCGCAAAAAAAACTTTGTCTATGCCACCAGTTGTTGATGATGGCCGCATCAGAAGGTCTTCTCTGCCAAGCTGCCACAAGCGTAAAAAACATCGCTCGCGAAAACGCATGGCGGTTGTGCAAAAGGATGTTTCTTAGACGTTTAAGTAGTGCAGATCGCCCTTGGCAAGTATAGGCCCCCGAAAGATTGGCGACAGATGTCCTCCAAGACATTGCGCTTTTCGCGAACGTTCTGAAGGTATGCTCTCTATGCTCTCTGGTTGCCTTTGAAGAAGGTTTCCCATAAGCGATGCGAAAGTTCGGGAAAGTAGCCGCGAAAGACTTTGCGCCTTGCATGAAGAACGTCAGTGTCTAGGGGAATGTCGGACGCAGGAATGTGTGCACGCGAGGAGTGACTTGAGATGCTTCGCGCTTCCATGCGGCTTTAAAAAGGACTTGCACTCAGCCAGCTCTGGAGTGCTGCAGCAGGATGAGCTCTTCCACACCGGGGAGGAGTGCATCGACCGTGTGGCCGAGGCAGGGGTCGAAGAAGACCTGGTAACGTGGTACTTCGAAGTTCACCTCGGAAGGGTGGGGGGTGCACCAAGCAACCAAGCAGGAGCCACTCACACTGCTTCGAACTTTCCAGGGTTATTCGTGTGCAAAATGTGAAATTGCGGTAACACTTTCGGGGGGGGGGAGGGGCGGTCGACAAAAGATGATGTGGAAAAGTACCTGTGTGCTCGCCAAACACTGTTCAAGCATTCTTCCCTGCCGTGAAGGAAAATGGGTGCGAATGAACAGGGCCGATGCGGAATTGCTGTAGCTGTGCGCGCAGGAATCATGGGGTGCCCCTGCCTCTGGGGGGGTGTAGGAGTGGCCCGCACTGCGCTCACAAACTGTGGGGTCCCCCAACCTTGATGCCTCGTTACACAACTGCGTTTCCAATTACAGCGACCCGGACCCCCCCCCCCCCTTCCCCTTATTTGTGTACAGAGAAGGCCCATGGCAAAGCCTCCGAGGTGAGACGAGGGTACCTTCAGTGGACCCAAAGCATTCATTCTGCTGGGAGGTTTTGCCTTGGGAGGTGATGCTGTGCCCCTCCCTCCCCATCAATCGGAATTCGGTGCCCCACATAGCTTCGTTCAACTCCCCCAGACTGTTTGAATCTTCTGGCAGGCTGTGCAGCACTTCCGTAACCAAGTGTTGCGGCCGATGTTGCTAGTTTCACATTGAAGATGCTCAGATGCACATCTCACGGTGGAAGGCGGCTGGAATGGAAACCATTGCAAACGGCCTTTTCCGGCTGATTGCTCATTTCTCCCAGCAGGCCGGTGTCGTTGTCCACTACTGCGTTCATGTCAACGAAATCAACTTTTGTTCAATATATTTCAACATCATCGTGCCAGGAATCGTGGCAGGCAAAGCACGCGGCGCTCGCGGCTGTGAAGCAGACTGTAGAGTACGTTGAGGAGGGCTTCCTCGGTTGGGTAGAGAGTGAATCGGGTTAGCCGCTGATTAGCGAATACAAGACACCAGGAAGAGCACGTGGACGAGATGGCCAAGCTTCTTCTTGGACATGTGGACCACCCACATCCAAGGCAGCCTTCATGAAAACCCTACAGTTGACATGATTGAACACTTCATGCACCCGAGCTGCCTACATAGTTGATCTCAGGGTGCGCTTCACCGCTCTGCATGGTCTGGGTGACGGGCCTCAGGAATGGTGGCTTGAATGGTAGTGCGCTTGAAGGGCTGTAGCAGGCTGTAGATGATGCCAGCCGATGTGAAGTGTAAACACCTCCTCTGCAGGGCAGTACACTCCTAACGACATGTAAACCTTCAAAACATGCAGTTGCTGCGTTGTATGCACATGACAGCAGCAACTTGTTCTGCACGTTGCTCATACTCGCGTTGCAGAATCAGATCCGCGAGTGACTGTCATTGTCAAGTTCGATGACCCCATGATGCCGTTCATGCACTCTTCATTCATGCACATCACTCTTCATGGCATTCAGGTCAGCTTGCCAACGACCAATCGCCGCACTTTCAGGATGCTTCTGACTCACCCAGCTCCGTTGTCACAGTTCTCAGCACTGAGCCAAGCTTGCCCCAAGAGGATGCAAGAAGCAGAGTCGTGATCCTGAGAGCGTGGGCAAAGAAGCAGTTGCCAGGAGCGATCTCATCAGCAAGTCATGCCCGTGCTGACCAGAAAAATGGACGACCAGGTGGGAGACTTTTGCCTAAAGATCTCGGCATAGCTGTCAACAAAGCTGCCTTTGCATGCCTTGGCGCAACGCCTCAGATGGACCGTGTGGCATCCATGGCCATGTCTGCCTTCGTCTCCTTCGGTGAGGCCTTGACTTACTTTTTGGCCTGCTTGTGTTTTTCTCAGAGAGCCGCCTTGAAGAAACTCCCCAGGAGCTGGACAACTCCTTAATGCACGGGCTCCTCCGACGGGTTTGTGAGAGCACCAATCAGGGGAGGGTGAAGTTTACTGGGTCGTGCGCCAAGAGCCTCAGGGCTTCGTAGCTTCATGGCCTTGCGGACAAGAGAGGGTGTCCTGTTCCGGACCTTCTGCTTCCGCCGTTGATAGCACAAGCCAAGGGCTCAAGCAACAAAAAGCACCAAACTTTGTGATTTTGTTGAACGTTTTGATCCTCTGAGAGCGCACTGCTGAGACAGAGCTTTCCCACCTAGCCAGTGCGACAAGACTACGACATAGCACAGCGCATCACTGCGCATCGTGGCGATGGCGCATCAATGGATGGCGGCCAAGGCTGGGCCTTGGTTAATGGAAGTTGTCGCCGGCTTAAAGCACCATAAAGCACCTCAAGCTCTCTGATGCTCTGCAACGAGGCATATGTGGGCGGACCAGTGGTGCACACGGCTATGCAGCCTAGGTGGGACTTTCGATGTGTTTTTGTGTCTTGCGCAAGACGTCAGACCTCACTCCAGACGAGGATGCCTCCTGCAGAGAGTGCGCTAGCGCCGCCGGGCCAACGAGCACTGCAGCCAATGGCGGCACAGGCACAGAGGCTGCAAGCCCGACCTCACATGGCGCTTCTTGGTGTATATGTTCAATGAAATTACAGTTCGAGCAACTCTCCTGGGCGGGCACTGTCTTCTGTTTACTGCCCAAGCTTGGCCGGTACAGCTCAGGTTGCCGGCGGCCCAGGCATCACAAGCGCACCAAGCGCGTCAAGCGCACCCAGCGCCCCAAGCGCTTCAAGCGCCTCAAGCGCACCAAGTGTCCCAGGCGCACCAAGTGCCTCAAGCCCACCAAGCGCCTCAAGCGCACCAAGCGCCCCAAGCGCACCAAGCGCCCCACGCGCACCAACCGCATCAAGCGCATGCGATGAGACCGCAGCTAGTGCAGCAGGTAGCCAGGCAGGCCTGCTGCTGGTTGTCGCGCTCGTGCAATTGTTTTACGGCTGCGCGGGAGGCCGATTAGTGTACAAATGGCCACGGCGAACCCAGGCACTGTTCTTGCAGTGAGTCTTTGGAACGCTGCTCAGACAGCTGCTTAAGCCGCACTGCCCCTGCAGCGCTGCCCATGGCAGGCCACTACATGCTTCCAACAGAGGCACGGCGACTGGATCCTCCGCCTCCTCCCAAGCTGCTCCTAAGAGAGTCGAACAGAGTCAAGGGTTCGATGAAGATTTCTGGAGTTTTTCTGCCTTCGGTTTTTCGCACATGGCGGGGGGAGCGCAGTGGTGGGGGAGGGGGTGGTGGTTCACAGAGGACAACAGCAGCATTGTGAGTGTGAAAGGTTGCAAAAGGAGAGGACTTTCCCACCGGCTGAGGCCGGCTGAGGTTGAAGATTTGTGAAGTGCTTGGACAGTTGCGTGCCTTGAGTCTGCAGCTATGCAACTTTGGCTGCAGGCGGCGAGCGCCAAGAATCATTCGGCTCTCTCTACGCCGCAGCATTGTGACTGCACCAGGTCCACTCTGACTCCGACGATCTCTGACTCACTCTTCGCTGACGTCCGCTAACGCTCGCTAACGTTCGCAAACATCCAGCTCACATTCGCCAATTCTCGATGAGCACTCGGACCTTAGTCGAGCCTCGAACGCGCTCAGGCTGGTCAAGCTCTGCGAGCACTACTCGCAAAGCTGCGAAACAAAAAAGCCACCTGGCCTGAGCAGCCTTTGGAACGTTCAGAGGGTTCAAAAGATGCAGCCCACGGAAGCGATACGTAAATTGTTTCATCGTCCTTGCGCGTAGCTCTTATGGGTGACTGAGGCAGATTTTGGCAGAGCATGTCAAAGAGCAAGGCTTGCTTGTCAGGGAAGGTTTGCGGGAATTGGCTCTCACAGTCTCACATGTCTGTGGGCACAAACATGGGCGAAAGGCAGGCTTCTGAAAGAGCGCGATGCCCTCCGGAAGCGCAAGCAGGCCTTGGAAGGTGTTCTAGAGGCTGCCCCAGGACCCGAGCTGGGCGCAAGAGCAGTGTAAGGCAGCATGTTCATTCAGCAATAAAGAAAGGGAAGCAGAAAGGGCAAAAGCTGTGCAAAAACTGGCAGGACCCGAAGCCAAAGAAGTCGAGGGCCCCGTCGTCGCTCTGCCAGCGCAGTCAACCTCAGTCTCTGCAGTTTCTGCAGTGCCGGCAGCGCAAATGATGCATGCGGCAGCACCGACGGCTGTGGGCATGTCGTTGAGGGTGTCACCTACGCCGATTTCTGGTGCATCGACGTCGCCAGCGCTTCCTGTCGGCGGGGATGTGGCGCCCCACACTGTGCGGTCTGGAGAGACCTCGTACACAGCTACGGCCCCGGCACCATGCGCCCAAAAACTGCTGGCCACCCTCCCTGCGCAGGCGATTCCTGTGAACACCACAGACAGGTTGCTTGCATCACAGCCTGCGGGCAAAGTTGGTCAGGTTGGAGAAGCTGATGTTAGTGAGGTACTGCGGTACCCTGATGGCCAGCGCCTGGTCCATGCAGCACCTGACCAAAGCAGTGTAGCACAACCACAGGCAAGCCTCACAACACCCACCACCGCACAGAGCGATTTGCCAACCTCCCAGCCGACACAAGCACTGTATGACCAGCCTGCAGCAGGCGAAACACTAACCATGCAGCTGGAAGATCAGCAGCCGCTGGAGCAGCAGTTGCCGCTAAAGGACGTGGTGGCCGAACCAGCATCGGCAGATGTTACAACTGCGACTCAGTGCACTGAGTCCACTCTGCCGGCAGCAGAAAAATGTGTTTTGCCTGCGGAAGCAGAACCCGAGCCGGAGAGGAGCCAGCCGAGCAGCATTGCTGCAGGGCCCGCAGGCAGCCCGATCAGCAGTCGGAGCAGTCCTATCAAACCGACGGTGCCAATGTCACCAGAAGCCGCAGGTACTGTGTCCGACATGCAAGCCTCACCACATGCGCTGGGCAGCCCCCAACCCCCAGTGAAGGCATTCACTGAATCACCATCTAGCCCATCGCAGCTGCCTTGCAGTGGGGATGCTGCTGCTGGTGTAGGCAAGGTGCCTGTGCAATCCTGTGCAGTGGACACTCTCTTGTCGGACTCTTCGCTTTCCTTTTCAGACATTGTGCTTGCAGGTGGTCCCATAGTGGAAGAAGAAGCCAAGGCAAGATGCTGGCACCCCGTTTGTAGTCTTGCAGTACAACCTGTACACCAGGCGTCGCCTCGTGTTGTGGTGTGGCGCAGCCTGGACGGCAGCAGCGCATGGGGCTAAGTTTGGCTGCAAATACGGACTCGATCTCACGCCTGCGAGTAACTGTTGGAAGGTCGTGCCGGACTGCGACACCCTTGCCAGCAAGGAAGAGGGCACCTCACCACAGGCATGTGCTGCGGCGCAGCTGCAGCAGCCGCTGCAGACGCCGCTGCCACCACAGCCACAGCCGCAGCCGCAGCAACCACTGCAGCCGTCGCAGACCTCGCAACGGCCACAGGTGCCGCGAGTGAGGGGTTCAACGTCGACAACACTTTTCAATGCTAAAGTTGAGAGGCTGGAACTTGGGGTGTGAGGGCGGGGTTTCCGAAAAGAAAAGAAGAGGCCCTGTTTGTGTGCAACAAGCCTTAACAGTCGTTACGTGTCTATTTTGTGGCCCAATTTCCATCAAATTGTGGCCGGCTCCTCAGAGGGAGCGAGTGGAGAGGTTAAATTGAATAAATAAACAAAACGAAAAACTCATCATACGCTCTTTGCTCTAAAGTCCAAGCATAATAATCTTTGTCTACATGTTCAAGTCTAGCAATAGAATTAAACGTATACAATCGGGACAAGCGCGTATCTTGCCTCGTCTGGCGGCAAAAGTAGGAGAACCAGGAACAGGGGCAGATCGGTAGGCTGGAGAATGCTTCCTTCGTGCTGGAAGATCGAATAAGCCTAGAGGCATGAATGCAATAGAATCCTAAGACAGCACACTGAGCGAGATCATGTGACATCACGGCAAGGTGTTTGAAGTTTTTCTTCAATCAGCATAGTCGATCACCCGAAAGCCGATTCAAACCATCCAAGGCTGTGCACAAAAGAAGCATGTTGACCCGGAATTTGACTGAGGATGCTGTGTTTTTGTTTTGCGACGGAAAAGCATGACACAGGGTTATGCAAGAATGGTCCGTTAGGTGTGTTGCTGCTTTTCAAACCGCCCGCAGACTTGTTCGAAATCAGTTGCGCCTCTTGAGTTGGATCTCGTGCAGTTCAGGGTTCCAGCCTTATGAATGCCTTTGAAAGAGATGGCGAGAATTCTTTCTAAAAGTTGGGTTCCTCCGAACTTTGGTGGTTGCTTCAGGATGGTTTTCTCCTGCAGAAAGGAAGCAGTGCCACGTTGCAGCAGGTCAGGGTACAAGTCAAATGCCAGGCAGCCGCCCCGCTCATCAGCGTGCCCGAAGAAGTGATGGCGCGAGCACTGCCGGATGGCAGCATTAGGTTGACGTGGTTCTTTGACGAGGCCATTCTTTCTCTTGTGAATGTTGTGACGAATCTGTGCTTACACGGCCTTGGGTTTGGAGGAGCTGCTTGAAAAGCTCTCCTGCACTGGCTCGCCTCACACCCTGAGTTTCGAGATTTGCCAGAAGTCCGAAACTGTGGGAGGCAATGTGAGTTCGCATGCGAACGCGCCCTGGAATGGTTGTTCCTTCCACCCCTTCGATGCTTCAGGACACGTCAGAATCCGGCAGCACAGCTGCCAAGCCAGACTACCGTTCAAAGACGGCATGGTGCAGGAGCCATGGCTTACAGCAACACCCTATATCGGGACGACCATAGCTTCCTTGTGTTTCCTTTTTCGCATCTGCGAGGAGCAGTCCTTCATCGTTGAAGGCTGTGCACCCGGTCGTCCCTACTCCTTCAGCGTTCGCAGTTGCCTGGAGCCACTTGCCCAGTGTTTTCCCTCGTCATCAGCCAGCGTTTGATCTACGCATGACCTGCAGATTCTGTGTGGCTTCCTCGCCTCAAGGTCTTCGTCTGGGCCAGTTCAGGTGTCG